CCAAATCCAGACCACCAGAGGTTTTTGAACAGACCCCAAAATCTTTGTATTTCTATTATAATTATTAATTATTACTTTCTCTGGAGTCTGGACTTGACTATACCTTGACCAAGAAATTTGGGCCTTGACAAAAAATAGGCTATCCCTGGTTTAGGTTTCTTAATTACATATTTCTGTAGCTCAAAGGAGGCCACAGATTTGCTGTTTGTGTTCCTTTTAGTTTGCTAAACTTTAAGGTTTATAGAAAAATTAAGAGAAACATTAAGAGGATCTTTTTGTTTTCTTAATGTTAAGTGGATCAGTTGAAAATATCTGCTTCTAATCAGAGGGCGACTGATTTCAGTTGTCCATATTTTGTCCACTTTTATAACAAGAAAAACAAGTATTTGATTTTTGGGATATCCCCCATCTTGGCTCAATGGAAAGGGCTACAATACCCATTGACAGTGTAGAGCAAGTAATTTCATTTGGGGTTTTTGTTAAACTATGACTCCTGTGAAGATCCATTATAATTAAGGGTGCGAATTTGTCACGGAAGTCACGGATTCTGTGACCTCCATGACTTCTGCAACAGTTGGTGCTCCTGCCTCAGGGGCAGCTCACCAGCTGCTGCTGGGGCAGTCTTGGGCCACTGTGTTCCACCCTCCCCAGCAGAAGCAGCAGAGTTTGGGTGTGGGACGGGACAGGGGGTTGGGACAGGGGACAGGGTGAGGCAGGCTCTGAGCAGCAGCGGGAACTGTGGCCAATGGGAGCTGCGGGGGCAGTGCCTGCAGGCAGAGGCAGTATGCACCGCAGAGCATGTTTTAGTCAGGGGTATATAGTAAAAGTCAGGGGACGGGTCATGGGCTGTGAATTTTTGTTTACTGTCCGTGACTTTTACTAAAAATACCCGTGACTAAAACGTAGCCTTAATTATAATTCATATGTGCTTGAGCTTTGTATCAATATGTAGTTTAAAATGTTTGTTGCTACAATAGATAACATATGTGTAATTGACACTCAATGGGCAGATTGTTTCTTACTGTTGGTCTACATAGAGAAGTTGTACTGTAACTTCAGTCTGCTTTAAAATGGATAAACAATTTGTAAATCCTGGATGAATGCTCTTAAATCCATTTAGTTATATCAATTAAAATTAAGCTGGTGTGACTTCTGCAGCTAGACAAGGCCTTATTTCTTTATCCTGTAAATTTGTCTTGGTTGACCATATTATAATCTTAACTCTACAGTTTTAACACAATTTTATGTAACACTTGATTCCTTTTTGGAATAGGAAGTGAAAGGTTTCCTTGCTACAGAAAAATGAGTTGGCAGACATCTTAGAATTAACTCTTCGCTCTATTGTTTGCCTGAAAAATGGGAGTGGCAAATACAAAATGCACTTTCTCAAAAGATCGGCTCCTTTTAATTTTTTTTTTTCCAGTTTAGGAGAAATAAGATCCTATTTTGTACTCTGATCCTGAAAACTGACATCTAGGAACTGGGCTATAGAACAGTGCCTCTGTTTTGGCACTGTATACAAACATTAAAGAATATTTTTATTGAATTTTACAAATACTGTGCCAGTCATGGCAGTCTGCATTGAGGTGTTATTGGCCCTTAAAGTGGGTGTATATCATTTATCCTTCCCCAAAGTAATTTGTATTCAAATATGCATTACTTGTTGATGCAACTTCCAGTTCACGAATCATGGTGTGCATAATGCATCCCAGGGACTCGTTTTGTGTTAAGTATTATGGGACTGTTCCAGGTCGGAGGTTCTCCTGTGAAATAATTGATCTTGTTATCATCTCATACTTCTGATCCATTAGCATTCTGATTGCTTGCCAAGTTTCTGTGCCAAATAATGTTTATGCTTGCTTCTGACAGTCAATAGCTACTGGATCTTCCTCGGACTCTGCTTCACCTTTTTCATAACAAAAGATAGTATCAGAGTTCACTCAGTTCTGAGCTTAATCTTTACTTGAACGAACTGTCTGAATTTAGTAAATTTCAAAAGAAATATCCTATTCTAACCTGTCTCTTGAAAACTGTTTTACCTGTGAATAGTCACATAGACTTTAATTGCAGAAGGGACCGTCATGATTATCTAGTTTGACCTCTTGCACATTGCAGGTCACAGAACTTCACCCATGCACTCCTGTGATGGACCCATAACCTCTGGCCAAGTTACTGAAGTCCTTGAATCATGATTTAAACTTCAAGTTACAGAGAACCCACCATTTACTGTAATTCAAACCAGCAAGTGACCCATGCTGCAGAGGAGGTGGAAAAAAACAATCCAGGGTCTTTGCCAGTCTGACCTAAGGGAAAATTCCTTCCTCTCCCCAGATATGGTGATCAGTTAGACCCTGAGCATTTCAGCACGACCTACCAGGCAGACACCTGGGAAAGAATTCATTGTAGTAACTCAGACCCCTTCCCACCTAGTGTCTCATCTCTAGCCCTTGGAGATATGAGCCTCCAGCAGTCGCAAAGGGGCTACATGTCATTGTAGGCCATATCATATCATTCCCTCCATAACTTTATCAAGTTAAGTCTTGAAACCAGTTAGGTTCTCCTCCTCCCCCTCCCCCCCCCCGTCCCCACTGCTCCCTTTGTGGGGCTGTTTCAGAACTTTACTACTCTGATGGTTAGAAATCTTCATCACATTTCAAGCCCAAACTTGTTGATGGCCAGTTTAGATCTTTTTTTCTTGTGCCAACATTTTCCCTTATCTTAAATGATCCCTCTCCCTCCCTGGTGTTTCTCCCTCTGTTGTATTTAGAGCAAGCAATCATGTCTTCCCTCGGCCTTAGTTTGGTTAGTCTAAACAAGCTAAGCTCCGCAAGTGTCCTCTCGTAAGGTAGGTTCTCCATTCCTCTGATTATCCCAGTATCTCTTCTCTGTACCTGTTCCAGGTGGAATTAATCTTTCTTAAATGTGGGAGACCAGAATTGCACACACTATTCCAGATGAGGTCTAACCAGTGCCTTGCATAATGGTAATAACACTTCTCTATCTCTACTGGACTTACCTCGTCTGATTCATCCTAAGATTGCATTAGCCATTTTCATGGCTGCATCACATTGGTGGCTCAGTCATCCTGTGATCAACCAATACAGCCAGATCTTTCTCCTCCTCTGTTGCTTTCAACTGATATGTCTCCCACTAATTGATAGAAATTCTTGTTAGTTCCTGAGTGCATGACTTTAAACTATTAAATTTCATCATATTTCCATTATTCCAGTTTTCAAGGTTATGCAGATCTTCTTGTATGATAGTCTGGTCCTCCTCAGTATTGTCAGTACCTCCCAACTCTATGTCATCCACAAATTTTATTAGCACACTCGCATTTTTTGTGCCGCGGTCATTAATGAAAATAAGTAATATTGGTCCCAATACCGATCCCTGATTAGCTCCACTAGTAACCTCCCTCCAGCTTGACAGTTCACCTGTCATTATGACTTGATGTAATCTCCCCTTTATCCAGTTCCTTTCCCTACATTTTAGTTCTCATTTTAATCCCCATCTTCTCAAATTAACTAATTTTCCATGTGCAAATAAGTCAGTGCCTTACTGAAATCCAAGTAGATTTGATCTGCTGTATTTCCTTTGTCTAGAAAATAACTTATCTTCTCAAAGAAAGACATCATTTTGATCTGGTACAATCTGCCAGTTTTTTCCAAAGTACCGTTTATCTCTGTATTCTTAACTACTTTTTCAAAATTTGTTGCAAGATCTTTCATACAATTGAAGTCAGCTAACAGATTTGTAGTTTACTGGATCACTTCTTTTCCCTTAAAAATAGATAATATATTAGCAGTGTTCCAGTCAGAGGGTACGGACCCCAAGTTTATGGATTCATTAAAAATCCTTGTTGTAGGGCTTGCAATTTTATGTGCAGGTTCCTTTAATATTAATGGATAGAGATTATCCAGGCCCCCTGATTTGATCCCATTAAGCTGTTTGAATTTGACTTCCATTTTGGATGTGGTCATTTTCTACTTCCATATCCTCGTATTCATTAGCCACCCTTATCTTGCCCAAGCTCCTTGTAACCCTTATTAAAAACTGAGGCGAAGTATTAATTTAGGTGTTGGGCCATGCTTGGTAATTGCAAAAAGTATCCCGTCCTCAGTGCTCTAGCCGTCCCACTTCTTCTTTACTTGTTTTTGTTTTATTTATATGGCTAAAAAACCTTTTACTATTGGTTTTAATTTCCTTTGCATAGTCCAACTCTGCTTAGCTTTTGGCAGTTCTCACTTTTTTCCTATACTTTCTGACCTCCAATAGGTAGCTTTCCTTGCTGATCCATCCCTTCTTCCATTCCTTGTAAGATTTCTGCTTTCCCTTAATAACCTGTTTGAGATCCTTGTTCATCCAGTTTGGTCTGGAACCTTCGCTACGAATTTTTCTCCTTGCTTGGGATGCAGGCTTCAAATATTGTCTACAACTTTGACTTAAAGTAAATCCAAGCCTCTGCCACGTTGAGATCCTTGTTCTTCCCTAACTACTTGCCCTAGTTTTATTAAAGTTTTCCGTTTTGAAATCAAGGAACCTAATTGCAGACTATTTTTGTTTATCCTTCCATTTAGTTTAAACTGAATTTGGCACATGAATTGCTCAAACCACGGTTTTCCTCTACAACCAGTTCTTCGGTGAGGTCCTTGCTACTTACCAATACTAAATCTAAAATGGAATCACCTCTTCTTGGTTCGGTGACTATCGATGAAAGAATTTGTCAGCTATCTGTCAGAATTAATTTGGCCTGAAACATTTCTTGATCATAATATAGTTTAATTCTTACAATTTTTTCCTGTTCAGCTGAGTAGGAGAACTCTATCATACTGAAATTCAGGTAGAGTAACTGTCTTCATTTTTTACTCTTGAATATTGTTTCATCTCTAGTATAGACTTTTTGCAATTACCAGTTTCCCCTCCATTCATGTAACTTTAGGTCCTGCTTGCACTAGAAAAAAAAATTTTTCTCAAAACTAAAAAATTATCCTCTCTTACAGATAATCTCTCCTACTGCATTGTTTTTGGCTGCGAAAGTGGAAGAACAGCCACGAAAACTCGAACATGTTATCAAAGTAGCACATGCATGTCTTCATCCTCAAGAGGCACAGCTGGATACAAAAAGTGATGTACGTGGAAGTGATACTTTAAATCTAATTGTAATTCTTCTTAAGATACAGTTGACACTTCAGATGAGTTGCTGTACTAGGTTCTTGACTGGATTAATGTCATCTGCTGACTCTAGAAGACTCTTCTATGCTTAAATCAAATAATTTGTCTGTTTTGTAACGTAATAGCATAGCCATTAGTGGACCTATCACCATTACTTAATATTTCATGCAGACTAAGACCTCTAATTCCCTTTTTAATAGGACACTTGTGCATGTAATAAAAACTTTTCTATGATGTAACGCATTTAACTTTTGTGATAGAAGTTCAGGTTAATCTTGATTAACATATCATAAGAACACAGTATCTTTTATATCCTTATGTATTTTTTAATACCATTTTAGAAGCTGAGATGTTTTTCTCTACTTAGCTACAGTAAAACCTCAGAGTTATGCACACCTTGGGAATGGAGGTTGTTCGTAACTCTGGAATGTTCGTAACTGAACAAAAAACATGGTTGTTCTTTCAAAAGTTTACAACTGAACGTTGGCTTAATACAGCTTTGAAACTTTATTATGAAGAATGTTGCTTTTAACCATTTTAATTCAAATGAAACAAACACAGTTTCCTTACCTTGTTAAATCTTTTTTAAACTTTCCCTTTATTTTTTACTAGTTTACATTTAACACAAGTGCTGTACTATACTTGCTGCTTTTTTTATTTTTTTGGTCTCTGATGCTGCGTGGTTGCATACTTTGGGTTCCAAATGAGGTGTGTGGTTGACTGGTCTGTTCGTAACTCTGGTGTTCGTAATTCTGAGGTTCTACTGTATTGGAAAAGGAAATTTCTCCATCCGACAGCAGTTATACCTCTTCTTGTAGTATACAGTACTTATTTTCATGCTCAGTTATGAAAATAGTTCTCAGATTTGATTTATGCTACCATTCATTGAATGGCTAATTGCCTTTGTGATCACAGACAAGTTGCAGTTAACTGTTTTTAAAGTTGATAATCCAAATGTGTATCAAGATATAGTAAATCAAAAGTAAGTAAATTTGAGGTCTTAAAGGAGGTCTTTAAATGTCACCCATACCATTTCTGTTTGAGACTTTGGTAAGCACAATAAATTTCTCTAGTAGGTCTTGACAGTAACTTATTTTTTTACATTTCAGGCATACCTTCAGCAGGCCCAAGAACTGGTTATACTTGAAACAATAATGCTTCAAACTTTAGGTATGTTATTTTAAATGGCATTCAGCCTGCGCAAGAATAAGGTCTGCATGCAATCAATTAAATGTACAGTAACTCCTTACTTAACGTTGTAGTTATGTTCCTAAAGAATGCGACTTTAAGCAAAACGATGTTAAGCGAATCCAATTTCCCCATAAGAATTAATGTAAATAGCGGGGGGCAGGGGTTTTCACCACACAAATTATATTATATTTTTATATGTGTATATATAAACTTATACTCTGTGTGTGTGTATGTATATTATTACAACTGAATGTTGGCTTAGTACAGCTTTGAAACTTCATTATGAAGAATGTTGCTGCTTATGTATATACACACACAGACACACACAGTATAAGTTTTAAACAAACAATTTAATATTGTACACAGCAATGATGATTGCGAAGCTTGGTTGAGGTGGTGGTGGAAGAGGGTGGGATATTTCCCAGGGAATGCCTTACTGCTAAATGATGAACTAGCATTCGGCTGAGCCCTCAAGGGTTAACACGTTGTTAATGTAGCCTAACAAGCTACAAGGCAGCACGAATGGAAGGAGGGGAGACAGCATGGCACAGAGAGACAGAAACACATACCCTGTGTGAGAGAGACGCATTGCCCCTTTAAGTATGCTGACCCCACTCTAAGTGCACTGCCATTTTAAGTAAATCAGGAAGTTGAGACAGCAACTGCTGCCAGCAAGCTTCCTCCGTCCAGAGACTCGTGTCTCCCCCCTGCAGTATGGATGGGATGAGCCAGGGGAAGGGGGACACTGATATTAGCCCCCCTCTACACACACACACCCACCAAGCAGGAGGCTCCCGGGAGCAGCTCCGAGGCAGAGGGCAGGAGCAGCACATGGCAGTGCGGGGGAGGGACAGCTAAACTGCTGGCAATTGATGCACAGGGAACTTAGGGGATCCGGGAGCTGATAGTGGGGCTGCCGGTCCACCCTGGTTCCAAGCCCCCACCAGCTAGCTGCAACGGGCTGCTCTTTCTGCAAGCAGTGGACCAAGCAGGCGGCTGCCAAACAAAGTTATGAGGGAGCATTACTCAACTTTAAACAAGCATGTTCTCTAATTGTTCAGCAATGAAACAACGTTAACTGGGATGACTTTAAGTGAGGAGTTACTGTACATCTATTAAAGTGGATCCCCAATAACCCAGTATCATTGGCCTTTAGCTGACCCTTTCTGTTGCAATTTACTTTAACTGAGAAAAGGATATTTGCATTGTAAGCATGTATGCTATATTAAGTTGGACAAATATTACTTAAATAGCTATTGTTGCCACACTTTGGGAGGTTCAAATGTGCAGTGCCTGTTCAAATAGGTTTGGCACTAAAACCAATATCTGAACACAGATCGATGCATAATAGTATTTTTGTTTAACTGCCTAGTTGCGTAGAACTCAGTTTAAGAAGAAGAAAAACGAAGCTGCAAGGCAACAGAATTGTACCTGATCTAATGTTCTTAAAGTTGAATGCTAGTAATACTGTGGATAAAGTCTATTTAAAAAAAAACTCCAGAGAACAAGTGATCTTTTTAATAACTTTTGGCATTTCAAAAATTGGACAGTTATTTTTAATTTATATTTATATTTATGTTCATTGGCTGCAGAGGGTGGGATTTGATACATCTAAAGATCTGGTAGGTCTTTCTGTTGTACAAATACAAATGTACTGCAGTTTCTGAAACATATTCCTTAATTTTTCAGGTTTTGAGATTACCATTGAACATCCACACACAGATGTTGTGAAATGTACGCAGTTAGTGAGAGGTCAGTGATCTTCAATAAAATGATTTATGAAGTGTCTTCCCCAGTGTGAGTAAATATCATTGGCACACCTGTTTCCCCAGTTATATATTACCCAAAGAGCACTCTTTAAACTGATGTATTTCAGGTTACTAAAAGCCAGATCTTGAAAATTCTGCTTTAGATGTTAGTGGTCTGCACAATTCAGAAAAGTATATAGGATTTCCATGATGTGTCTACCAATTGTTAGTTCTGTCCCTTATTTTTTTCTGTCACTCTTCACTTCTCATTCCATGGCCCTGTCATCTCACTCTTTCCTTCCATTCTGTCAACTGACAACCATAGGAGTAGTTATAGGTGGTCTCCTGTGGCTGATACTTATATTTGGAAGAAGCAAGTCCTCATTACTTTACTCCTGCCCTTTTCCAGAACTGCCAAAAGATATTTAGGATGACAGTTCATGATTTCATTCATAAACAAGTGCTTTTCTTATAGTATCTATCTGCAGAATTAAATACATTAGAGGGCTAGTTAATTTGAATCTGCAACTTTCTACACATAAAGCTCTTCTATCCATGCAAAAGCATTCTGTGTCAGTGTTGAGTTCTGCTTTGTCAAGGCACACATCAGCAAGCAGTGGCTGGCAGAGTACATAGGAGGTCTGCCACACGCAGACACTTGGAGAGATATGTGAATGTTTCTATAAATAAGAACAATGTCTCCGTAATCTGAGTTTTATTTTATTTGAATTGGAGTGGTGTTGGCAAGAAATGAAATAACCTGTCTTCAGCCAGTGATTGCATCCTTATGTAACTTTTTTCCACTAGCGTGGCTATAGATAATAGGCTATTACTCTTTATAAGCCTATATATTAAGATGTCTATAATGTGTTCTGTGCTGAAATTGGTCGACAAGGTCTTGGTATGGTGTTAGTATTTTTTTTTCAAAAGTTCCATATAAGAACCTTCTAACTGGCTTTTACACTATAGGAATGTAAAAATTAACTATAACAGAGTCTACAATAGTCCTATAACTCAAACATAGGTTCCTTTTTAAGAAAAATTTTGCAGTAGATTATTCCATAGTCCTGTCTATCTTGGTTATTTCGTTCTGAAAATAGAGTTTGAGTGGGTTTTCCATACATAGTGTAGGAAGAAATTACTTGGATAAACTTACTATAAATATACTTATTCTTCTTGTGCAGGTTCCTGGGACCACCTGCATAGTTAGGGTTGCATTTTAAAAAGGCACACAGCTGATTTTCTTTAAAAATAGGGGGCACTGGTATGACTCTTGCAAAAATTAAAATTTATTTTGGAATTGGGGTGTGGCTGAAAATTGACTTTGACAATCCTGTGTCTCAATGACAGACTCCTTAAAAGATTTATATCAGTCTATAGAAAAATTGCTGGAAGTTGATTGAGTAGATCTGGTGCAACTGATAGGTTTTGTGTGTGGAATTTTTTCCCACATTTAGGGTAATTTTTAGTTGTTACTTGCATATGACTTGGACATATGCAAGCCTGATTGTGTGTATATAGCGCCAGTCTGTTCCATCAGATGAAATCTACATCAAGGGCTACATTTTTCTGTCACTTTATCCTGCAGTGGGGGTGATTTTTGTGCACAGCTGTTAAATAAAATCTTAATCAGCAGCTTCACTTCTGCACTAGCCTTTCATCACTGCCTTTAACCGCCTTTCTGCAAACTCTCCTTTTATGTAGCTATCCTCTTCTGATACGGTCAGCTATTACACCAGACTTTCAAAATTACTAATGTTTCGGGGCTGGGGGTGGAATCTGGTAATGGGGGGGGGTGTGAGTGTGTGTACAGAAGAATGGATTGAGGGGATCAAAATGAAGGTTGTAATGTATAGTCTGTGCCATATACTTGTAAGAGGTGTGCTTATAAGCAGAGTATATTCTGTGAGGTGGCTAAACTTTACATTTCTTTGCTTTTGTCACTGTATTCTCTGCGAGGGGGGTGTCTGCCACTGTCTGAACTTACAAGACAGCATGCTGACACACACTCTGCCCCCAAAACACACGCTCTCTCTCCCCCCCACATACACACACCACACTCCCTGTCACACTCCACACACATCCCATTTGAAAAGTACGTGGCTGCCACTTGCACACTGGGATAGCTACCACAATGCACTGCTCTCTATGGCGTTGCAAGAGCTGCTAATGTGGCCATGCCACTGTACTTGTAGCTGACAGTGTAAACACATGGCAGCATTTTCCCTGCTGTGGTCTTTGAAGGCTGGTTTAACTCCCAGTGCTCTACATCTGCAAGTGTAGCCAACCCCTTAGTTTAGAAGCACTGTCTCCAGGAAAGCCCTTTTAGAGTATTGTTAGTACAAACAAATCCCTATTTTGGGGACATGCTGTCCAATAACTTCCTAAAAAGCTCTTTCAGATGGGTGTGGGGGAGAAGAGGGGCATTGACAAAAACTTCTAGTCACAGAAGAAGATCTACAAGGTTAGCTGAGGCATATCCATACATTTGCCTTCCACAACAACCACCAGAGCAGCCAGACAGAATTCTCTGGTACCTCAGACTTATGTTTTGCCTAAAACTTGATTTCTAATAACATGCCTCACTAAAGATGGCGCAGATTCAGCAGAAAAATGGTTTAAGAAATGCCTGTCTTGTAATAACAAATTTCCTATCCCAGACTCGTACTTCTTTCCTAGATGCTTGGGTGAAGGGGACTTTATCCAGTCACTGCCATATCTGCCTTACACTTACAAGCTGCCCATTCAAGAATGGAGTTTCAGATTTTATCCATGCTGATGGAGGCCCTGAGCTTGCTTCCTTTGGGGAGAAAATACCCAAACACTAAAAAGCCTTTTAATCTAGTGGAGAAAGGCATAAGAAGAACCAGTGGCTGGAAGCTGAAGCCAAACAAATTAAAAGTAGAATTAGGCACTGAGTTTTAGTCATGAGGGTGATTAACCACTGGAATAAATTGCCAAGGGAAGTGGTGGATTTGCCAAGAGTCTCTCAAAATCTTCAGATCAAGAATGGATGCCTTTCTGAAAGATGTACTTTATCCAAACAGCAAGTGATTGGGCTCAGTACAGGGATAACTGGGTGAAGTTTAATGTGCAGAAGCCCAGATAAGATGATCTAATGGTGCCTTCTGACTTTAAATTCTCTTAATCTTCGAATCTTTGAAAATCCAGCCTTAGAATGTCTAAGTCTGGGGCTAAGAAGGTATGAACATTCTGGTAGGTGGAAGATGGGAGACATCAGACTGATCCACGTCATTCTTCATCAGTGTTAAGAAACTGACAAGCAAGAGGAGACAGGACCACAATTGCCTGTGAAGTCTGGAGACAGTGTATCTGTAATGACCTGGCAGTAAGAAGTTCCCATTCCAAGGAGACTCTGGTGTTGAAAGGGAAATTCATATTCATAATGGCAAAAATTAAATTACTGGCACCTGTGCTAGCTGAGAGATCAGAGGTGAGAGAATATTCCTCTTTCCTACTTCTGAGACTATCACCTAGGCCCTTCATTTCTTGGTGCCAATCCCAATCTGGTGTTCAGAGGTTAGTTCTGATTAACTTGAAGGGGGGGAATTGGTACACTAATTCCCATCTCACGGACCTTTCTTGATGCACCCGAGCAGAAGCCCCTCACCAATTAATCCTGCATCTACACTGGGACATAAGGTTCTCCTGAAAATGAACATTGAGAACCGGGGACTTTGAGTTTGACCTAGCTGCCTTGTGGGAGACCTGCCGCTGTTTCACCTTCATTGCCAGGTATCTTGGGATAGCCATTGTCCTTACTCTACTAATGTGAAAACTGCACGGTCAAAGTCTGTACGCCTTCCAAACCACCAGTATAATCTGCTCAACTGTGGTTGAATCTGACAGAGAAAGTGACCCTCTAGAAGAGGCGGTGGATCCAAATATATATCTTTTCCAGGGGATGTCAAGACAATTCAGCTGATGTTATGTGAGATGGGAAGATTTTAAGTAAGTTATATCCTATCACTAGTAGAGGAAACCCTCCCATTCTGAACCTTCACCTCAGCTTTCTACAGTCCTCTTTCGAAGTCTAGTAGTCTTTGGCAATCAGACAAGACTATTCACAAACCTTAACCCTTGTACCCGGTCTTCTTCCAGTCTTTCCCCTATGTATCAGGTGTTCATCAACACAATCCTCTTCCTAGGGTCTGTTTGATCTTTTCCCTTTGACCAGAGGATTCTAATAGCTCTTCATTCTTAAGTGCAGACTCGCCCATCTGGATCCATCTCTTTCCGGGGATTGCTTGAGTATCTTCCTCTCCTTGGGATACCAGGAGAGCTTCCCTACTCAGCTTCTACTCTCCAAGTACTTCTTGCAGTGAATCTAGGTAGCTCTTATACCCTGATTGTCCCAGGAGGTTGTGCTCCCTCTGGGGCCATAAGTTCCCTAAATGTCTGAGTCCTACTAACAAGCAGGTTGATGGCACATATTCTTAAGAGGATCAGCACACTGAAATTTTCTGGGAGTATAATTAAATATAAGATCTCCCCAAAAGCACTGCACTTTCAATTGACTTGTCTTCAGGAAAAGACTCATAGACTGAAAATTGGGAACCACATCAGGTGGATAGGGTTGCTGTGCCCATTAACAATGGATTCAGTAATCTAATCCTGCCAGGGATTTATGGAAGACCCCAGACTCTTGGAAGGTAGATTAATTGTACCAGGTCCTGCCTTAAGGGTTTGGTTACTTACATCAAGTATCCAAGCCAGTCTTTCATGGTTGATTGTGCAACGAAGGATTAAGATACACAGCCCTGTCCCCGAGTGATAAAGAATGATGGGAAACATATTCTTGGCTGGAAGTCATATTTATCTGCCATCAAACAGATGAGTAGTAAACTGTCATGCTCTCTTGATTTGCTCTGACTTTTATACCTTTGGCAAAGTCATTGCCTTGTTGATACGCCTTCCACTTTTTTGCACATTTCTCAAATAATCCCTGATCAGCTCTAAAGGGTTAGTTAAGGGTGGAGTTCCAGCCTTTAACTAGGTTTCTTTGCTTAAGTGAGATCACACTAAGCTGCATTAAAACATTGTCCTTGTTTAAAAAGTTTATATGAATACCTTGGACAGTCTTTCCCTGTTGTGGCTTTGGTTTGTTGAGCTTAAACACCTGTATCCTGGTCTTTGGTAAACTTCATTTGATTACACAAAAGTATGTAAATCGAATAAATTTGAAATCTTAGTTACAGAAGTCTGTTTAGTGCTATGAGTGCAAGCATCCCATTAATGTGGACTTATATTGAGACTGAAATGTATAATTTTCAAATTGTGATTTTTTTTGCCTAGTTTCTTGCTGTTCAACTTAAAATTATGTAAAACAAAATTGTTTAAGTAACCATTACATATTTCAGAGTAGCAGCCGTGTTAGTTTGTATCTGCAAAAAGAAAAGGAGTACTTGTGGCACCTTAGAGACTAACAGATTTATTTGAGAATAAGCTTTTGTGAGCTACAGCTCACTTCATCGGATGCATTCAGTGCGGGGGAAGAAAAACCCCACTGAATGCATCCAATGAAGTGAGCTGTAGCTCACGAAAGCTTATGCTCAAATAAATTTGTTAGTCTCTAAGGTGCCACAAGTCTTCCAATTCCATATTTGACAACTATCATATTTGTTGCACTGGTAGCTTTTGGCAGTCCACTCTTTCTTTAATATAAAGTCATACTGATGAATTTATGGTATTTCATCTTTCTTTAACTCAAATATGCTTCAGCAAAGTTGTAGTATTGTAGAGAAATCTGTGAAGATGGCTTATTCTGTACATTAATAAAAACTAACAAACCTGCAGTCTTGTTTAACCTTTCCATTTTCAGTTATGTTTCCTTATGAAAGTGTCAGGGTTTTTGTAGTAGAGCCCTGAATATGCTTTCCTATATCTTTTTGGGAAAGGCTACCAAAGAAGTTTAATTTTGAGAAAATAAATTTGGCACAGAACTACTAAAACAGATTGAAAAAGCTAAGTATGTAGTACAATTTCATCAAATGTCCGTTTATTTTCTATTATTGTGGATTAGCAAAATATATGTGGGGAAAACAGGTCCTATTCTCTTACTACTTCTGTCAGATTCACTGATGTAATCAACAATGGATTATGGCATTGCCCAGCCCTAGCAAAAGGCATAAGCCTGGTTTACACATTTGTATCTTTGTTATCAGCAGTAATGGGAAATGGAATTCGATTGGATTTTGATAAAATGATGGTTTGTAAAGCTTCCCAGATTGCTAAATTTGAAAGCTACTGCTACAATTTTTCTTTTTCAGACAAACTCCTTAAAATAAAAGAATAGAGGTTTGTGACAATGCTCCCTTTGACATAAGATCCAACAGTACATTTTCTCCAGGTAGCACTGATTTCAAGTGGTAGTATCAAAGTAAGAAAATTCAATGAAGGCTGCATTCAATCTTCAATTAAGCTCATTGTGCCCAGATATTCCATCTTACACATTTTAAGAGTAAGTGCTCTTATTTGAGTGAGGACCTTGGGGGTTTGGCAGATAAGGGCCAGAGATCAGTCTTTGGGATGTTGAAGCCTTGAATTTGATGACCATTTTTAATGAGTTATAAATTTGTTAAAATCTAGGTTGAAGCTTCTGATATAATCAAATGTTTTGTTCCATGCTTATGAGCATTACATTTTGATTAAAGAAGGTGTAGAAGTGCACACAAGCTAATTTAACCCTTAAACTGTCTAGTTTGGGAACTAGCTCTGTTCTAGGACTTTCTGGGATAATTATGTGTTACTGGTGTATGGTCATTGAGTTTTTCTCAACTGCTCTATGCTCCTTCAGCTGGAGAGGAGCACTAAGCTCTGGCCTGAGCTATAGTACAAACTGGCTCTCTATTTGACTGTCCTGCTGAGAGACCCAGCTGTGGGGAGGGTTGTGGTAAGGAACCATCTAGAACTAAAGTAGGGAGGCAGGCAAGCACTAGAGTTCAGGTGGAAGATAAGAGAGCCATCCCTCCACCCACACTGTATTAGATTTGGGAGGGCTAAGGAGATGAAAGGGAGACTTCCATCCTTTTGTGGCTTAGATAGAGACAGTTCAAGAGGCAGAAGGATCAACATACTCTGTACAGTAGAGGGAAGGTTGATGAACTGAATGACTTGCCCATCTCCAATTATAGCTCAGTGAGGATGAGTAAACCTGTCCTCAGTGCCAAGAGCTAAGTAGCTGATTTACTTTAAAAGGCAGCTAATGTATCTTATTAGTGTTCTACATACCTTTCATTTTGAGGTTAAAGCATTTTAATTATGGAATGAAGCCAACAATTTGGAGTGGATTGCTAATTTTTCTTCAATTTTCTTTTTGTTACAGCAAGCAAGGATTTGGCACAGACATCCTATTTCATGGCTACCAACAGGTTGTTATCCTGAACCTCTTTGTTGCACTGTTGTAGCACACTATAGCTTCCTTTACTGCAGGGCCCCCTCCATGTGTCCTACCCTTGTTGCAACAGAAAACTGGGCCATCTACAGTGGTGGTACCGTTCTGTTTGCAGTGCGGTGTATTGTACAAGGGCCTTGTGGCACAAAGGGGTTAAATGCACAATGAGAAGTGTAGTGGTGCTTTCTGATGACATTTTCTCGATTTGTGAGTGCATAAGTCTAAAACTGGTAGCCTGAATAGCAGCTAAAGATTACAAAGAGATAAACTTAACCTAGAAAGTCGAGCATCTTGGTAAGTACAAAGCTATTTCTAGTTTACACTTGTAGTTAATGGCAATTTTTTCTTAATTTAAATACATTGATCCAATCCTAGTTTTATGAAACTGCAGTCAGCCTAAAAACTCTTAAAATTACCTAATCTTCTTTCCAGGTAGACTAGAATTAGTCTAAGCAATGTTTGTCCTTCCAGAAGCAGTGTTTATTTTTAACATGCTTTTTTTAAAAATCATAGTATTTATGTGAAATTAAAATTGGTTGTCCAAATGCAGACTAATAAATGTATGCAGCTATTCTGGTGCATAAGGATGAAGTTTGGGAGTAGATCTAAAAGTCTTCCATGTGTTCTTTGCAAAATTAGTTTTAATTTAATGTAATCCTAGTACATGATTTTGTTAAAATCCAAGTTTGTATATGTAATGTTTGTTTGGGAGGACCCTAACCATTTTTGGTGGTCCCTTTGTTATGGGATAGTTTTTTGTTTGGAAGAGTTTTGTTTTCAAAACCTGTTAGAATCACTGTATCTGAACCAGCATACTTGTGCTACTGCCAGCTGGGAAATTGAAATGAGAGAAGATTTGTATCCCCAAACCTGGGCCTAATGAAGACTACTCATGTCACACAAGTGATTCTCTCAACCTCAAGGGAACTATTGAGTATCCATAGCTACTAGTTTGATATGCAGTTTCAGTAATGAGCTGTATTAATGACTTCACTGTGGTTGAAATTTTATCAACCATGTTATGTTGAATTTTTGTCCCTCTCTTTAAAATTAAGTAAAAAGTAAAATGCCAATAGAATGAACTGAGGGATACTTTTTTTTTACTCTTGTTAAGAGCAAATTAAATTTACCAGATAAATGACCTGCCTTTTCTCAAGGTTGTAAAATAATTTCAGAATTTAATCAGAAGCATGTTCCATGATGTAATGTTTAATATCTGTTTTGATACAAAACTTTATGCTATAATCTTAGTGATTGACTTGTTTGGGTTTTTTGTTTTACATGTTTGAATTCTCTGCAACAGCCTGCACCTTACTACCTTCTGTCTTCAGTACAAACCCACAGTGATAGCATGTGTGTGCATTCATTTGGCATGCAAGTGGTCCAATTGGGAGATTCCTGTATCGACGGATGGAAAGCATTGGTGGGAATATGTTGATCCTTCAGTTACTCTGGAATTGCTAGATGGTAAGTAGCATTTCCTTTTTATTTCTTTTAAATATTGTGACCTTGTTCTTGTAGTTCTGCTACTGTTTCAGCTAATATTTAACTCACCCCCAACTACTTTAGGTCCTGGGTAAGGGAAGCCCTTGAGCTCATGCTTAAATAACATTGACTGTATAGATGAGAATCTCACCCCTGCTCTGACCATGTAGGCCAGAAAAAAGGGCCAGAGCAGAGTAAAGGGACAATGGGAGCCCCATATCAGCTGTGGGAGAATTCTCGTGGCACAGGAATTGGAAGATGGCCATAAGGCTGCCTCCTCTGCGGACTCCCTAGCGAGACTTGGTATGTGGACCATGCTAGGGGCAGGGCCTCCACATGCAATAGTGCAGCTCATAGGACAGCCTGGGGAGGCTACCATAACTCAGACATGCTCTCAGGGCTGTCTAAATTAGGCTTGGGGCTTCTGCAGCCCAAGAGGATGCAAGAATGGCTTAAAAGCCACGATAGCCTCACCTTCTGTGGGCTGCAAGTTCAGCACATGCTTCAGTTGTTTGCTGAAGTGGGATTTTAAATAATCACACTGAAAAACTGAAGTCCTCATAGAATGTGCTGCCTTAAGATGACAATTTGCTTCATTTCTACCCAGATTATTAGCCGCTACTAAAGAAAATTTCTTTAAGATTATAAAATTGAAATAGGATCAACCACATTAAAGCCAATTTTGTGTAATAGGAGTGAATCTGGCATAGCCCATGGAACCTTATTATTAGTACCATGGAATTTCTATTTAATGGTTTTTATCAGAAAGAAAAATAAACTTTTTCTGCTAACAGAAAATTAAATGGTCTTCTAGGTATTTACCAAAGTTGTTCACTGTTTTTTGTTTTGTTTTTCTACTGTTCGTGGTGACCAGTTTTGTCTCAGTGTTACCTTATGCTGCTCCTGTCTATTTCCATCTGTCATCACTTGGTTTAAACTTAGTCCCTGCCCCAAAGAGTTTATAATTTATCCCTTTATTTGTGTCTGACACAATGAGGCTCTGATCTGTGATTGATATCCCTAAGCATTATTGCAGTGCAGTAATAATAAATGCTGTCTAGCATTTGCAAATCTATATACTAATCAGAGGTTGCTAGGAGATGTCTTGCAATCAAAAATCCCTGGTGTTGAGCTGTGGTGTATAACCTACGACTTGGATATGACCCACAAAGGGTTCTTTTGGCCTGCAGTTGTCTTCCATTTCTGCGTCACAAGATTTTCACTTTAAAAAAATTGCTCTAAAGTGAGGAGAATATGAACAGATGTAGCACTATTCACAGAATCAGTGAGGCAGCATAAAACTCCAAGGTCATCTGCCTCTAGTCATCTCAGTGGAATTTTCTCTGTAGTCTACAGATGACAATTTAAATATCAGCATAATTTTACTGTTTATTTAGTAAATGTATTTAGTTATTTGCTTTTTATTCTGGGTGGATATCAGTAATTAGACTGAAAAGATCTGCTCGGCGGTACCCACAGATCTGTGTGCCCAAAACTTCTCTCATTCCTCACTCAAGTTTGGTTATATCCCTGGAGCAGCAGCATACCAATCAGAGCAAATGTAAGGAAGGAGTGTATAAAGTGTGTGTGTGTGTGTGTGTAACAGGCTGAGCAGATCACGGGGCTTAGCAGCAGAAAGCTCATGGGGAGATTAGTTTGCATTTTATTTTGCAAGGTCTATTGAGGACTTGGCTCTTCAGGATTCCATTCTGAAATCTAAAGCCACCTCTTGACTCAACATCTATTTTCAGGTACTTAAAAATGTTACATTTTAGTAGGCTGTAGCAGTCCCTTTGCAACTTCAAAGGGTGTAGACGCCTTCTTAATTGAAAAGACCTTTCCCACTTTCTAACATGGCAAGAAATTTTGCAGAAGCACTTTGGAGGAATTGATCAAGAAGCTCAAGTGATCTGCAGATTTTCAAAGGGACAAATACTTTGTTGTGTTAAAGATCTTCATTCAGTTGTCCCTGAAGAAGCAGAACCCAAAGATCAGATAGTATGAATTGACTTTTACAATGCCCTAATACAAGTTTCATGCTGAAAACTCACTGAATTTTTAAAAATATCTGCCTTCAGAGTGACAGATACCCAGTATTTTAAAAGAGCTGCTTTTTGTGCAGACCTTTTTGGAATTTTATGAACAGACCTCTTGGAGAACTTTTGATTTGTTCAGGCTACAATTCCCAAACATCCCAGGCTGTTTTTCATAATGTGTGCCACTTTAGATCTGGATACCAGGAAGTTAGAGAGAGACAGTAAGAGTCTTTCCCATTTATCCTTCCTTCGGGCCCTCAAAACTGCATATAGCATACTTCAAACAAATTTTCTGATGAAAATATGTAAATACGTAAGTCAATTATGTTCAGCTCCTAAGAACATAAGAGCTGTTACCCTGGATCATACTGATGGTCCACTAACCCAGAATCCTGCCTCCAACAGTGGCCAGTACCATAACACCAGGGAGAGTGTACAGAACAGGGCAATTTTTGAGTGATCTATCCCATCTTCTATTCCCATCTTCTGGTAGTTAGAGGTTATGGGGCACCCTGAGCATGGGGTTGCATTCCTGACCATCTTGGCTAATAGCCATTGATGGATGTATCCTGCATGAACTTATCTAGTTCTTTTTTGAAGCCAGTTATACAACATCCCAAGTCAGTGACTTGCACAAGTTAATTGTGTGTTCTGAGAAAAAGTACTTCATCTTGTTTGTATTAAAGCTGCTGCCTTTTAATTTCTTTGAGTGACCCTTGGCTTGTGTATTGTGGGAAAGGGTTAAAAACTTCTCACTACACTTTTCCACTCCATTTATGATATAATAGACCTCTATCATATCCACCCTTAGTGGTCTCTTTTCTAAGCTGAACAACCCTGCTCATATGGAAGCTGTTCTATCCCCTTGATCCTCTGTGTTGAACTTCTTCGAACCTAGTCCAGTTCCACTAATCCTTTCTGAGATAAGGATGACCAGAACTGGACACAGTATTCAAGGTATGGGAGCACCATGGATTTATGTAGTGACCGTGTAAAATTTTCTTGTCTTATTTTCAAAAAAAGAAAAGGAGTACTTGTGGTACCTTAGAGACTAACAAATTTATTTGAGCATAAGCTTTCGTGAGTTTTCCACTGAATGCATCCGATGAAGTGAGCTGTAGCTCACGAAAGCTTATGCTCAAATAAATTGGTTAGTCTCTAAGGTGCCACAAGTACTCCTTTTCTTTTTGTGAATACAGACTAACACAGCTGCTACTCTGAAACTTGTCTTATTTTGTATCCCTTTCCTACCAGCTCCTAACATTGTTAGCCTTTTTGCCCACTGCTGTGCATTGAGCTGAAAGTATCCACAATGACACCAAGATTCTTCTTGAGGGGTGTCAGCTAATTTAGAGCGCATCATGAAATATGTATAGTTGGGATTATTTTTTCCAGTATGCATTATTTTGCACTTATCAACATTGAATTTAATTTGCCATTTTGTTGCCCCATCACCAGTTTTGTGAGATTCTGCTAGAACTCATTGCAGTCAGCTTTGGACTTACAAAAATTATTCAAGATAATTATCATCTGCAAACTTTGCCTTTTCATTCCCATTTCCAGATCATTAATAAATATGTTGAATGACACAGGTCCCAGTGCAGATCAGTGGCGGACCCTACTGTTTACCTCTCTCCAGTGTGAAAACTTGCCGTTTATTCCTACCCTTCATTTCCTGTCTTTTAGCCCATTACTGATCCACGAGAGGATCTTCCCTCTTATTCTATGACAGCTTAGTTTCCTTAAGAGCCTTTGATAAGACCCCTTGTCCGGGGCTTTCTGAAAATCCAAGTACACTACGCTTGTTGATACTCTCAAAGAATTCTAATATATTGGCGGGGCATGACTTCCCTTTACAAAAGCCATGTTGACTCTTCTCCAACATATTGTGTTTGTGTGTCTGATAATTCTGTTCTTTACTATTGTTTCTACCAATTTATCTTGTACTGAAAGTAGGTTCACCAGCCTGTAATTGCCAAGATTGCCTCTAGGGCCCTTTTAAAAAGTCAGTTTTACCTTAGCTATCTTCCAGTCATCTAATATAGAGGCTGATTTCAGCAATAGGTTACAAACCACAGTTAGTAGTTCTGCAGTTTCATATGTGAGTTCCTTCAGAACTCTTGAGTGAATGCCATCTGGTCCTGGTGATTTTATTACTGTATAATCAATTTGTTCTAAAATCTATTCTATTGACACATCAATGTGGGATTGTACTTGTCACTCAAGAAGAATAGCTTTGATCCCTCCACCCCCATCCTTTTCAGTGAAGACTAATGCAAAGAATTCATTGAGTGCTCCTTTAACGACTTCATTGTCTGGTGGCCCCATTGCCTATTTGGCAGGCTTCCTGTTTCTGATGTTCTTAAAAAGAATTTCTTACTGTTAGTTTTTGCATTTTTAGTAAATTGCTTCTCAAATTCTTTCTGGGCCTGTCTTCTTATGCTTAACCTGGCAGAGTTTGTGCTCCTTCCTATTATCTTGTCTTCCAAATTTTAAAGGATGCCTTTTTGCTTCTGTTGGCCCCCAGTACTCTGCTCTTGAGCTGTGGTGGCATTCTTTTGGACCTTTTAATGTCTTTCCTGATTTGGTGTATACATCTCATCTGAGCTTCCATTGTGGTGGTTTTTAAATAGTTCCCATGCTGCTTGCAGGTATTTAGCCCTTTTGACAGTTCCTTTTAATTTCCATCTAACGAGCATCCTCATTTTTATGTAGTTCCCTTTTTAAAGTTACATTTTACCATGGTGGGCTTTTTAGTATTATTTCTCCTCCCCTCCCTGTTACATTTAATTACATTTTGGTCCCTATTACCAAGTGGTTGAGCTCTAGTTACCTCTTGGACCAGTACCTGTCCTTCACTTTGGACTAAATCAAGAATTGCCTCTCTCCTAGTGGGTTTCAGAACTAATTGCTCCAAGAAGCAGTCATTTATGGTGTCTAGAAATTTTATTTCTGCATCCTGCCATGAGGTGACACTTATCCAGTCAGTATAAGGATAGTTGAATTCACCCATTGTTATTGCACTTTCTGGTTTTGTAGCCTCTCTAAACCTCCCTTAGCATTTCACATTCACTGTTACCATCCGGGTTAGGTGGTAAGTGTATATTCCTACTTCTATACTTTTTTTCCCCCCCTCCAGGCATTCATTTTCTATCCATAGTGATTCTGTGGTACAGTTTTGTTTCATTTAAGATTTTTAGCTTATTTTACTCTGATTTGTTTAATATATAATGCCAGTCCCCCAGCAACGTGACCTAATCTGTTATTTTTTTTATATATCTTATACCCTGGTATTAGTGTGTCCTACTGATTATTCTCTTCCCACCAAGTTTCTGTGATGCCTATTATATCAATATCCTCCTTTAATCCCAGACACTGTAGTTCATCCATCTTAGTATTTAGAGTTCTAGAATTTGTATATAAGCACTTGCACATTTTGTCAATATTCAGTTGCTTGCCTTTGTGTGTTATATTTAAATAGACTCATACATTTGCCTGTTCCTCACTACATCTCACCTGTATTTTACCAACTTCTTTCCTATCCTCTATACTAAGATAAAGTGTCCCGTTCCCCCGCCCCTCCCAAGGGATGTCTCCACCTGAACCATGTACTGCTCCACCCCATCAGGTTTTCCCCAGTTTAAACAATCCTCTACAACTTTTTCAATTTTACATGCCACAGTCTGGTTCCATTTTGGTTCATGTGAAGCCCATCCCTTCTTTATAGACCAATCCTTCCCCAAAAGTTCCCCAGTTCCTAATAAATCCCTCTTCCCTGTACCAATGTATCATCTACGCACTGAGACCTTGCAGTTCTGCCAGTCTTACTGCCCTGTGCTTGGAACTGGAAGCATTTCAGTGAATTCTACCATGGGGGTCCTGGACTTCAATCTCTTACCCAGCTGCCTAAACTTGGCCTCCAGGACCTCTTTCCAACCTTTCCCTATGTCATTTTGATACTTACATATACCACCGGCTCCTCCCCAGTACTACCTATGAGACTATCTAGATGTTTCGTGAGATCTGCTACCTTTGCACCCAGAAGGCAATTCACCATGCAGTTCTCTCAGTCATCACAAAGCCAACTATCTACATTTCAAATAATCAAGTCCTCTATTACTATTGCCTATCTCTTCCTAATAACTTGACTCCCTGCCTCCGGAGCGATATCCTCAATGTGAGAGGATATCATGCCATCATCTGAAAGGTGGGTCCCAATTATGAGATCATTTCCCTCTGCCCCAGGATCATTTCTTCTGCCCTGAGACTTTCATCCTCCTTAACAGCACAGGGGCTTTCGGACAGGAGGTAGGACTACTCCACTATGTGCCTGAAAGTCCCCTCTGTATAGCTCTGTCTCTCTCTTTGCTTATCCAGTTCAGCCACTCTGGCTTCAAGTGCATGTACTCTGTCTCAGGGCCATGAGTTGCTTGGACTGCATGCACATGTATGCCCCCTGTCCGTGAGGCAGGTGGTAATACATGTTGCACTTAGTGCAATAACGTGGGTAGCTGTCACCCTTCTGCTGGTTTTCTGCCTGCATTTTTACTCTTGGGGTGGCTTATTGTTGGCTAAGTTTTGGATATGTTTGTTAGGTGTATTGGGTTTTCTTTATTTCATGAGTTTTCTTGAACTTGGTGCCTTTCTATTTGTTAAATCTCTTGGACTCCTTCACTGCCAAACTCTCTCTGCAGCCAAACTCCCTCAGTTCCTGTGCTTGCTCTCTCTCACAGGCTATCTGTTCAAGAGGGGGCTGTCTCAGGAGGTCTCTAGATCTAACCCCCCCACACACACATACTAGACTACACCCCTTCATACCTATTATTGATTACTTGTGTCCTGACCTCTAGGAGTATGTCTACACTGCAGTTAGACATCCTCTGCTGGCTCATGCCAGCTCACTCAGGCTTGTGGGGGCTCTTTAATTACAGTGTAGACTTCTGGGCTCACACTGGAGCCAAGGCTCTAAGACCATGTGAGGTGGGATAGTTATAGCCCTTGGGGTATCACTAATGAATGATTTACTCTGCTGCCACAGTGGCTAACACCTCCAGGAGCCTATGAGTCACCAGTTCAGCCTTTCTGACCAAGCTTGTAAGATAAGGTTTAAATCTGAATAAGCCTTTAGATTTTAAACTGCTTGGCTTATAAAATGCTTAGCCCCTTCAAACTAAATTTTAAACTGAACTAATATTTTAAGGTTTAAGATTTAAGATTGTGCGCTATTACTGTAAAGATGCAAGAGGGTAAGTTCTGTAGTGTATTTTGATGTACAGCGGTAGCAGGGTCCACACAGCCAGTTACTGCATGGCAAGCTGGGTTTCTGTAAATGTACACCGTGGCTTACCTGTACTATCTGAGTAGACAAGCCCATAGATTCTGTTACTGATTCAAGTATGAAAAGAGGCTTTTGGTTTTTTTCCTCAGAGCTCACACATGAGTTTCTGCAAATACTAGAGAAAACACCTAGCCGACTGAAGAGGATTCGTAATTGGAGGGTAAGAACTTGTTGCCTAAGTAATTTGTCATAGGACATATGGGGGGAGGGATAGCTCAGTGGTTTGAGCATTGGCCAGGGTTGTGAGTTCAATCCTTGAGGGAGCCATTTAGGGATCAGGGCAAAAATTGGGGATTGGTCCTGCTTTGAGCAGGGGGTTGGACTAGATGACCTCCTGAGGTCCCTTCCAACCCTGATATTCTATGATTCTATGATAACTGCCACAAACCTTAAAAGTAAGATTGTAAACTTCCTGAACTTTTCCTTAGCAATATGTTCATAATTGTATGTCCCTCTGTAGTTCCCTATTATGGTAGCTTACATTTAAAATAAATAAAATAAAATTAAAATTGAAACAATGAAATCCACCTTATTTTATCCAGTTTTGAGATATGTTAGGTAGCTGTTTATTTGTAGGTACTTTCTAAGTTTGTCCTTACTCCTTTCCTTTTCATATAGGCTAATCAGGCTGCTAAGAAACCGAAAGGGGATGGACAGGTATCTGAGAATTCTCTTCTTGGTTCATCTTTGGTCCAGAATTCCATTTTGGTGGATACCGTTACTGGTGTATCTGCCAATACAAGCTTCCAAAAATCATCAACGTCGACCTTTCCTGCACCAGTACCTCTGAACTCAGGAAGTATGTCTGTTCAACACAGTCATGCACCTGAAAACTTGGCAATATTAGCTACAGGAATGCCAAGTACCTCATATAGTTTGGCATCGCACCAAGAATGGCCTCAACATCAAGAACAAACAAGGACCGAACAAATATATTCTCAGAAACAGGAAACTACATTACCTGGTAGTCAGTACAATCTGAACTTCCAGCCAGGAACTTCTGTACAATTGCATTCTGGGTTACATCACAGATCTGACAAACTTACTGAGCATTCCACTGGTAAACAAGACTATGCTCACAAGTCAGGAAACAAACACCATGGACAGGTTGCTGCTCCTGTAATTCCTCAGAAAATGTCCTTGGATAAATACAGAGAGAAACGCAAACTAGAAACCCTTGAACTGGATGTGAGGGAACATTATGTAGCTACCCAAGTAGAACAGCAACATAAAAAGCACATCCAACCACAAGCAGCCAGTAGCAGTTCTGTTACTTCCCCTATTAAAATGAAAATTCCTGTTGCAAATGCAGAGAAACCAGAAAAACATGTGTCTGATAAAAAAGAAAAGGGTGGATCACTCAAACTGCGAATACCAATCCCACCTACAGAAAAGAGTTCCAGTAAAGAAGATTTGAAAATGAAAATTAAAGTTTCTTCAGAAAGACACAGCTCATCTGATGAGGGCAGTGGAAAAAGCAAACACTCAAGTCCACATGTTAGCAAAGACCATAAAGAAAAGCACAAAGAACATTCTTCAAATCGCCATCACAGTAGCAGTCACAAGCATTCACATAGTGGTGGCAGTAGTAGCGGCGGCAGTAAACATAGCACTGATGGAATAACACCAACTGCTTTGAGGAGTCCTGTTGGCCTGAGTAGTGATGGTAATTCCTCTAGTTCCGGCTCTTCAAGAAAGAAGTTGCACAGCAATGATGCTTCTCACAACCACCACTCCAAATTGAGCAAAAGTTCCAAAAGTTCAGGTAGTTCATCTAGTTCTTCCTCCTCTGTTAAGCAGTATGTATCCTCTCACAACTCTGTTTTTAACCTTCCCTTACCCCCTCCTCCCCCTGTCACATACCAGGTGGGCTACGGACATCTCAGCACCCTCGTGAAACTGGACAAGAAGCCAGTGGAGAACGGTCCTGATGCCAATCACGAGTACAGTACAAACAGCCAGCATATGGACTACAAAGATACATTCGACATGCTGGATTCGCTGTTAAGTGCCCAAGGAATGAACATGTAATCAATTGTTTAGGTCACTTTTCTTTACTTTTTTAATTTAAGAATTGTTAGAATGGAAAACTTCCTAATCTAGCAGTAGCAACACCAGCTGTTGTTGCCATGGTTTCAGTATATGTAAGTGCTGCTTTATCCTTCACTGAAAAGAAGAGGTATAGTAAACAAGTCTTTATCTCCACATACAATAGTGTTATAAATACTGTAATAGCATGGAAGGTGCAAAAATCTCAGTATTTCTACAACTGCAGCTAAGAACAGTAGAATGATCATCTGCTTTTAGGTGTCTAGGATGCCTCAAGCATTGATTATTTAAAATTTTGAATACTGCAGCCACCATTTTTGTTGCTTAGCTTTTGAATGAGTGTAATTGTTTCCTTGTGTATTTATACTGTATGTATGATTTGCATGTTTCAAAGATAAAGGGATTAAAAACAGTATACTGACAACTGTTTACAAGAAAGTGGAGAAAAATGTACATACATTTTTGTATGTTTAGATATACCATAAATACTCAGGATTGGAGCTGCTTGTAAGTATAACAAAATATACATAACTTTATTTTATCTTGTGTCAGAGTCCATCAGTAATCTAAACAAAGGTGACGCTTTGTCATGTTTATCTTGAACTGTAGGCCTTATTGGAAGCTGCTTAAAAGGGCACTTCACTAGAATGGGTAATTTAGTACCATGTGTGGTCATCCACAGGAGAGCATCACCAATGAGGCAATAAAGGAGTCTGGGCCTCAGTTTGCTGATTGTGACCAGATTGACTGCTGAAATGCACCCCAAGCTTTCTGAAGGAAAAAAGAATAAAGTTTACATAATCTTTTGATGTGAAGTGCATTTAAATGTTTATTGGCTTGATGCAGTAATATAGGCAGAGCTGTTACTTAATGATTACGTAGATTAATGTGAGTTAAGAACTGAAATTCATAAAAACTTATAGTGAAAAATTAGTAAGTTGTTTTTTAAACTTTAATACCATAAGTTATTTTAATAGTAAACAGGGATCACTGTTTCCATTACCTTTTCAGAATAACAGCCATGTTCTGAAGTCCAAGAAGTGTATTTGTGTGTGATGCCATATTTCTTTTACAGGTGAGAATGCAGTCTTCACAATAAATAAGAGTAAAACTATGATATCCCAACTTTCCTTTATATTCCAACAATAAAATAGTTACCACTGATTCTCTGTGCATTGTACTTGTGATTAGTTACAAAATTGGAGGTTACTTGTTTTGTTTTTAGCTCTGTGAAAAATCACTCTTCAATTAAACCACTAGTATACACTTTGTCTGTCTGCAAGTGTCATAATATGGCTTGTGTACTGTTTGCACAGTCTTCTGCCTTTTTAGAAGAAATAAGAGACTTGAACGTTTATACATCATTTTTGTTGAAAGCCAATACTACAGTTCCGTTTTACCAGCTGACAATTAACTAATTTTATGGTTGCGCTTAAAATCATTAATAAGCTATGAATTAATTCAACATGTATTCAGTATAAGATAGCGAACGCTGGTTCCTAGTGACTGTTTTGATTTTTTTTAAATATACAAGAAGTGAAGTTTTGCTAAATCACCTGCATATGCAGTTAGTACTTGGTGTAACTGGTTGTAAACACTTCAGAATTTTAATCTGAAGCTTAGCCCTTTAGTTCCATTATTAAATGAAGTGCTTTAAACCACAAAATTGTTCAGTACTTACCCGTTTGTAGTTGCTATATTATGTAACTACAGGTATATCAATTACTATGTAATACTCAGTTTCCAGTAATGCAAAAGCTTATCACTAAGTTTTATTTGAACAATGGACACTACTTTTTACATCTAAACATTTTAAATTGAAAACAGAATAATGTATCTAGGTCCACATTTAGCCTTTTCCCATGGATATACAGGATACAAAACTTTACCCTTAACTGCTTTGAATTTCTCTACATTCAGAAAAATATACTTCAACATTATTACACTTGTTTCACATTGTTGGATATGTTCTAACCCTTTTAATAGTCTCTCCTCTCCATCTCAGCACTAAGTCTGAAGAATTGTTGACAAATGTAAGCAATGTAAACTGTTCTAAACTAATATGCAGAGATAGAAGATAAAATAGTAAATTGTGTTTAAAATACTCTTTACAAAGTATCACAATATTTGCTTGTAAGCCTATTAAATAGCTGTACAATGAAATGCCTCTTATGCATCCAATGTGGATACAGCAATATATTGTACTAGAAATATAGCATCTAATGTTATAACTTAGAGATGAAATGCCAGGCAGGTAACTGGTGATGGTCAAAAGCAAATGAAAAACGCCAGAGATTTTCACTTGAGTTGATGACTTACACAGGTCGTTCACGCTGATTCCAGGGAGCTCTGAAATTACATTGACAAAGGGTTGCTATTCTAAGTTAATGAGAAACCGTGATTTCAATTTCTTTGTAGAGAATATCCACAAATAAGATTATTTTTAGTTTGCATTATAATTGTGTAAATATGTATATCTCTGTACTGAAGTCTTGCTCTCTGAGATTAGAGTTGACATGGTGGATATGGGGGGTGGGGAACAACAAAATATCACTAATTCACACTGACTGAAACCCATTGCAAATGACTGAACTTTGAATTACAGCATGTTCCAACTGTTTATGGGGTCAGCATTGGTCCCATAAGTGAATGAATAAATGCAATAAAAAAGCTAATACGCCACAATGTACTTTGTTCACTTTGGTTATAGTTTTGTTACTGTCTTGAGTGAATTTAATAGAAAATACACTATGTATTTTGTAAAAATGAAGTCTTAATTCTGAAACCTCACTACAGTGCTCAGCTATTAAATCTCATCATTTTTGTGATATGTTAAGTGTGTGGATTATAGAGATTCTACTGTACGTTGAATCTTTAGTGTCCTTGCTAAAGGTGGAAGTACTGCATTAAAGTACTCTAGACAATGTACTGTATCTTGCTGTGGTCTAGTACTTTTGATATTTGGTTAAAATTGAAGTGCTGTATACCCTTTCTGCTCATTGTAGATAAATGTTTCATGTTAAAATAGCCAGTTGCAATTTTAAAACAGCCCTTTTATGAAATTAAAACTTCACTTATCTTTTTTAAGGACAACTTGTGTAAAAGCTATTTATTAATAAAGTTCCTTACCTCGCCACTCTCACTATTGGGCAGAAATACAGTCCCATTTCCTGTACTTATCTTGCCAATTTTGCTTGTATATATTAATTATGAAAAATCCCCTTGGATTTGATGACAAAACATCCATGGTTTTTCAAATGTAAACAGAAAGCACTTTTGAATTTTGAAAAAATAACATAATTTACCTTCCCTGACTTTTTTCACAGTAATTTCTAACTCAGCAAAAATACATAGTCAGAGAACTTTCAGAAAAGCAAGTTATATAACTTAGATACATTTAGAGGAAAAAAAAAATGAGGTACGTACTTTTCATTTGATATGAACCAAGTGGGAACTTTGATTTTTTTTCCATATCAGAATGTGGAACTGTCGTAGGAGCATTATAGCTATTTTATCCATAATTTGAAATGTACTAATTCATGGTTTTAAAACTATACTTCCTCCAGCAAAGCAGAATTACAAGTATGCCGGCATTCCAAGCAGTTCTACAGGGAGAAAGCTGTTACTCCCTTGCTCCTCTCAAGTCTTCAATGAGTACTGAAGCTGACTAAACTGGTTCCTAGACACTGAATGTTATAAATACAAGATGGCCCTGGACTACTTACCTTTCCCATATCCCTACAATTGCAGCTGGTCAGTTCTCTTTGCTCGTAAAAGTCCCTTACTGAAGATGTCCTCTTGAGTCACTTTGATCATCTTCAGGACTGCTCAGAAGCCTTCCCTGTTGGGGGCAGTTTATATTTGATCATTTTGTTTCCAATTTCCCTTTGATCTTCATCTGGATTACTTTCCCTCACCTTCTAAAAGAATTGTCAGATCACTGAGTCATTTTAATTGCTCTTTGTATGGATGTGGCATTCCAGTTGCTCCAATGGAATATTTGTAAAATAGAATAAACTACACTGATTCTCTGTCAATGTTTCTAATGAGATTAGAATGACAATATATAATATTGCTTTTACTCAAGATAGGCTATAACAACTTTTTAGAGTTTGAGCTAAATGAAAAAATATCTCTGTAGTGAGACATAACAGAGGGACTGGTGGGTTTTGAATGAAAATTAAGTCCAAGAAACTTGATTTAAAAGTTTTGATTTTTTTAGTGACTCATAGCTATACTACAACCACTTTAAGAATGTATGCTGCATCATATCCAGGTGTTGTTGGATAACTTGTATGCTTTATTTTGGGCTTACTACTTCCACTTCTCCCCTGACGCTTTGGCTTGGTATATACACAGCTTTTGTACCAGTATAACTGCCAGTTACGAGTAGATTTTTTTTTCAGCTGTATAATTATACTGGTACAACCCCTAATGTGGCTGCAGTTATATTGGTGTAAAGTTGCCTTATACTAGCATATCTTCTTTCCTTTCCCATAAGCTATAGATATAGTTAAATCTCTACAATGTCTGTGTGTAGACAAGGCCTTTGAATTTCCAGATGTTTCCTTTGTCAGTGTGCTGTAGTATCTAACCCAGTGGGTGAAATTTGACTTTAAAATCTTATATACTAACTAGGAAATAGCAACAAACTAACATTTAAGCAACAAAGATTCTAAAGCTTTGAAATTTTCTTTGAATAACAGAAGGCTTAAACAGATGCTAAACAATTTCAGATGTCACCAAAGCATCAGGGATTTTAACAGGTTTATATCAGCATGTTTAATGCTCTCCCTGTTTTGAGGCTATGCTTACAATGCTTAGTTTTTATAAACATTACAATATCTAGGGGTTACTAGAATATTCTAATCCACTTATTTTTAATAAGGTACTCAGTGTGGTAGCTTTTATTGCAAGACCTTCCAGGGGGAATGTGAGGGTTTTGTTGAAAAACATAAAATTTCTACTTTAATACATACTGCTTGCTCTAGAGCACCGCTATCTGTTATTATTTAGTATAAGTTATATGTAGCTATTATTTCATGCTAAATTAAAGCTCATCTTTACTTTGCAGGCTTTTTGAAGATGCCCTAATGCAAAGAGGCAATTTATTATATATCAGAACTATGTACAACTCACTGTAGGTCATTGGACTGGGTTCCTACAGTTATTCTGCAAGATAATGTAACAAGAAGATGCTCTAGTTTCAAAGGACTTTCCATAAGGATCAATCTATATTCTGTAAAATGGGACTGAATTATTTGGACTTTTGGAAATGAGTGTGAAGTTAGGATTATTACTCTGGCATAATGTTCTCCCACTCTTATGTGATACATAATGGAAAATATTAATAGAAGTGGTAGAAGGAACAATTTGTTTTCACAAAATCTGCTAAACAAGTATCTGAAATTATTTTACTGGAAGACTTTAAAGTGAGAAAAATTGGGTAGATTCAGTTAAATCAAACATTTTAAAATATAGTTCTAAAGAAATTTTTTTTTTTTAATTTTTATAACCTGTTAGAAGCTTGAACAAACTTCAATCCTGCCAGCTACTTCCATTTTGCAGAATATCCCTTTCAGATTACTGATAGCACTGAAATAATCGGCACAGTTGTAGGGGAGAAATGTTCATTACTTTGTCCTCTGAGAGGGCCCAGTAACGTGAGAGAGAATCTGCTAAATTTCTTTCTTTTGACAGATGGTGTATATAATTTGGCTCAATTCTGTGGAATTTTAAGTATATAAAAACCCTGAGAACAAGCATCACTAGATATAATGATAGGTTTCAGAGTAGCAGCCATGTTAGTCTGTATCCGCAAAAAGAAAAGGAGGACTTGTGGCACTTTAGAGACTAACAAATTTGTTAGTCTCTAAGGTGCCACAACAAATTTGTTAGTCTCTAAGGTGCCACAAGTCCTCCTTTTCTTTTTACTAGATATGTAATTTTTTCAGTAGGTAAAATTGTTGACATAAATCACTTTAATTCCCTTTTCAAGGAAAAATTCAGTATTAAATGTTCTATAAATTTTGTATTATACTCACCGTTGTGGCCAATAACATATCTGAAACTTTGGTTTCCTAATGTGGGCTAAAGATTTTTGTTCTAAGCTAAAATATAGCTTCCACCTCAGTCTAATAGTTTCATCTATTCTGAGCTACTCTGCTCAATTCCCAGTGTTCTATACAACAGTTTAAGTCTGAATTATGTTTATAAACCTAGAATCATGTGATGGCTCTGCTCCTCTAAACTCTCCAGCTCACTATCTCCACTATATCTTGTTGGCTTTTTGCTGCTGAATTCAGTTTTTTATACTGCCCCTAAATTTTCATTATGTTGCAGACTTTTGTATTAACCAAGGCATTTAGGATTCTTATCACCAGGAAGCAGTTCTGCTTTATTAAATGCATCCCTTCCCCAATATATTTCCCTATCAAATTTTGCTAGCAGCTAGTTGTTCTGTTGCATAACCCACTATCCACTCTACCAGTGATTCTCAATCTACTTACCATTGTAGGCTGCATATGAAACAATCTGGGTTGTAGGGGCTGTATCCACACAATATACATACCATCTGTCTGTCCCCGAGGATAACACATGGACCTGAGCAGTGTGCTGATGGTTAAAAATCACTGCTCTATACCATCAACAATGTAAATAAATGTTACTGCTTAAGCAACCCACAGTGAAATAACTTACAGTGCTGATATCAAAAGCACCATCACATCAGTGGTAACACCTCACTGAGCTAGATAAATAAGGGCAGTTCACTAAGTTTTCTACAAACTGGCAAACTCCATCTAGTTAACATTTTGAGTTTTCATCACATAATGAGGACCCTAAAGATGTTTAAAAAATTAATGTACGTTATGGAACAATTCTGCAATAAATTAAAAAAGCAAGGGTGATTATGGTGCAATTTGTGGTAATTGAACTATTAGATGGGTCTAGCCTGTGTTACAATTAGAAAAGAACTGGTGTGGATAGCTGTTGATTCTGCATGCACTTTATATGTTTAAATACAATGCAGCGGTTATCACAGGTTTCTCACTGAGCAGCAGAATGGTTCTAGCATTTTCTGTGCTTACACAACTGGGAATCTGTCATAAAGTAAGTGCCTGGGCTGGGAGGAGGAGGAAGGAGACAGGAAGCCAGTTAGTTACTATGACACCTAATTTCTGCCTTCCACCAGATTTTATTTATATGGAATTCCTACAGAGCTGTGTATAGGATCCTGCAAGACCTTCCCCCACATATTGGTCCATGTGAGAACTTTCAGTTTATGTATGCTAGCAATATTGTACCTAATGTATGTCACCAAAAACATAAGAACGGCCATACTGGGTCAGACCAAAGGTCCATCCAGCCCAGTATCCTGTCTACTGACAGTGGCCAATGCCAGGTGCCCCAGAGGCAGTGAACCTAACAGGTAACTAGTGATCTCTCTCCTGCCATCCATCTCCACCCTCTGACAAATAGAGGCTCGGGACACCATTGCTTACCCATCCTGGCTAATAGCCATTAATGGACATAACCTCCATGAATTTATCCAGTTCTGTTTTAAACCCTGTTATAGTCCTAGCCTTCACAACCTCCTCAGGCAAGGAGTTCCACAGGTTGACTGTGCGCTGAGTGAAGAACTTCCTTTTATTTATTTTGAACCTGTTACCCATTAATTTCATTTG